CCCTTATGCTCCGTGGACTTGACATTAGTAACCGATAATAATGACCAGTCCATACTAACGGCCTTACTACAACCTCCTTTTTGCTGCTAATTGCAATACTTACCAGTGGACCTGCCATAAGAGGCCAGCGTGAACTGTCTTGCATGTCATTGAAAATGCAAGCCTAATAAGCACAGGTAGAGCTGCTGGGTTCTCACCCAGGTGCACTTCCTCATGGTACAAAGAGAGGAGACTGAACAATTTTTAATGTAATCCTTTATGTGTTCTTTCTTCAGCCTTCGGAAGTTTCTCCACATGTGTGTGCTGATCAGTACTCTGTCGAACACTCAGGAGCACTTCTGTGGATATCCCGGGTTCCCTCTTGTGGATCTCTCACCTCTCTGTTTCTCTGTCAGTTTTCACAGGTCCCTTCATGATCCTGTAGGTTACTGAGGACTCCCTGGCCTTGTTACAGTCACAGCAGGGCGGGCTGTGTCTCCATCCTCCTATTCTCTTCCTCCCTGTCTTCTCTGGAACTCAGAGCAATTCCTATGTGCTCTGGTCTTGATCTTCATCCTGCTTTGGAAAGAATTGATCCTCATGTGTTCTGGGCTGTTTCAGGGTTTTAGGTTGATTCTGATCCTGGCTTTAATTTCGGTATCTCACGTTTGGTGGAAGAAAAAATAGTATTCCTTTCTTTTTTTTTTTAATAATGAGTTTGGACATTACTGGTCAGAACTTTCAGGCAGATGAGCTAAGGGAAACAAGGACAAATGGTAGTCAAGAGGTGGAATAGGGAGGTCCCCAGACCAAGAATGAGATACGGTCCACTTAGTGAATTGACATGAAAGAGACCAACGCTTTGGGATAATGATTTAATTGTGAGTGACTAATCTTTGAAAAAACATAGTGTCCTCCTAGTGCATCTATAGTAACGTACTTGGTCTTATAACGGTAAAAAGGATGGTATTGCACTGCTATGAAATGCTTTGGAGTAGCTTTGATATGTTCTGCAGACACTTTTTATTTATTTTTTAAAATTTTGAAACAATTTTACACTTAACAGAAAGGTTCCAAGTAGAATACAGCATACTCTTTTTTTACTCCTGAAAAATTTGCTTGTAAGGTAATGACTAATAGCCCCAGTCACTAAGACTTTACTATGCGTTTCCTACAAACAGGACATGCTCTTACATTACAGAAATACCACTGTGGAATCAACAAATCATGATTAATAAGTCACCACTCCTAGTCCTCGGTTTCATTTACAGTTTTGATAATTGTCACATTAATGTCTTTTGTAACAAATGATGCAGTCCAGATTCAAGTGTTGCCTTTATTGGCCCGTTGCCTTTAGTTTCCTTCTGCCTGGAGCAGTTCTTGAGTCTTTCCTTGACCGTTCATCCTCTCGTTACATTTCAATGCTGCTCACCTATTGCTTTGTAGAATGTCTCTCAGTATGTATTTGGTAGATTTTTATCCTGTTTAAGTTCTGTGCAGGCCTCTTTGGCAGGAATATTCAGAACTGATGCTTTCTTCTTACTGCATCCCAACAGGCAGTGCATTCACTGTCCCAGGACTAATGGCGTTTACTTTGAACCTGGATGAAGGTGGTGTCTGCTAGACTTCACCCCTGCACTTTAAGTCTATTTTATTTTTAAAATTTAATTTAATAAGAATTTGTAGAGAAGTATTTTGATGTATTATGAATATCCACTTCATAATCAAAATGTGAACTCATGAATTCATGGGTTATAATATGTTACCGTTATTACTTATTTCCATAGTTAGCATTCCAGAGATTTGTCCGACCAATGCCTTATTCAAGTTGGCATCTAACACATGCTCCTTCTACCTCACCATTCTCTACGCACTTCCCTGATTTATGCCAAAAGTTGGTCAAGGCTCATCTTGTATTTTCCATATCCGAGACTTGAAATAAG